GAGGGATCGAGCAGCAGGAATCAAAAAGTATGTGCTGTCTTAAGGAGGGCTGCAGGGATCTCAGAGGAGAGGACAAGAGGGGTAATCAGCTGCCATGGGAAGAGAGGAAAAAGCTACTATACTTTTATGCCCATCACATAAGTAGGAACAAAGCTCCCACATTTATCATTAGTGTGATCTATCACTGGGAATTTAGGGGATCTAATACAAACTTCCAATTGTGTGAGGATGGGTTATCTGGGAGCTCAGTTAACTCCTGTGCAGCAACTGCCACCAACTTACTTCTCAGAGTTGTGATAAGAGTAATAAAAACAGCTATGCTCTTCATTAGGTTTTGCATTATCACGGGTGGACTGTTTTTGCATGGGGATTGTGTTTTGTTTTTTCCTAACATAGGACACCTTCGACATCATAGGAAAGCAAGAGCATTATCTTTTAGCAATGGAGATGTCCAGAGCAGCTTTTTCTGGGAAGCGAACAAACATACCACCATCCCTCCCCCACTCCGGAGCATGAGGAGACTGCTCCTTCCTTTTATAAACCGCCCGCCTCAACATAAAGCTTGCCGGGCTTCTTGCAAGCTCAGTCGCGTTGTGCACCTGCTCGCGAGATCTCGAAGTTTGGTTTTCTTCCTCCACAGCAGAAGAGTCGGGGAACTTTCCTAGCCGTCCAGCTATCCGTCCGCCCACGGAGGAGCAGTGGCTTCGTAGGCCCGCCCATCCCCCCTTTTGAGCCAAGCATCAGTTTTATAACCTGCCATCTGCCTCAAAGCACTTCTCCGTCACGAGGAGGCAGAGGTAGCAGCCTGCCGGGCAGATGCCTTCTTCTTCTTCGTCCTCTCCCTCCTCCCTGAAATGACGAGAGTAGGATGCTGCTGGCTGGGTCACCCTACAGGGGAAAGCAGGGCTCTTTCTCTGAAAGGCGCTTTAGCCAGCTGCGGCTCCCAGTGGCAACACAGCAGACAACCTCTACCCCGAAGCACGCCAGAGCCGGGCCAGCATCCATGAGCTCCAGAAGCAGCACCCAAACATGGCTCCGCCCTAGCCGGGCCAGATCCTTCCCTGCTCGGGCTTTCCTCCACCTCCTGCTCCCCTTGCCTGGAGATGGATAGAGGAGCAGTGTCTCAGTTCCTAAGACTATCGGAAATATGTGTTTTCCGATGGTCTTAGGCAACCCTGTGAAAGCGTCGTTCGACCCCCAAAAGGGTTGCGACCCACAGGCTGAGAACCGCTGCTTTAGATATTCCTATGTAATCCACATGCTAATGTCAGGTCAAAAGGGAATTTACTATACCAGTTGCCAAACAGACATAAACTCCAATGTGTTTATCCAATAAAATAAACAGCAGTATAAATTAAAATTAGAACATCTATATTGTAGAGACACACATTCATCAATAGGAATTGGAATGAGGAAATTTTATACAAAAGAAATAAAGCAGCTTAACTTGGGATCTCCAGAGTGCTTAAATCTTGAACATAGCATTTTCAAGAGGGAAGAATTAGGATAAATTCAAAGTGTAGATCATATTTCATTGATAGGGTTTGTCTTGCCACTACCTGAGTTCATTTAAAACATGAGGACTGGCATCTAATATGATAGGATTTCTTTGCTACCAAGGCTGATCCCTGCCTTAAAGTGCTTCTGTTGAGCTGCTGGGTTGATTAGACTCACTTATCATTCATTGGTTCTTATTAGACCTACATTTCTTCAAGTCTCTAAAGTAGTCAGTTGCTAAGGGGGAAATAAGTGCTCTCAGATTGCTTTCATATATTTTTAGTACAGTGCGATTGAACCAGAGATGGCATGTCGCAGTTTGCCTCTTCTCATTATGTATCAACATTAATCTTTACTTATAAAATACTTACTATACTTTACCATCTGCATAGATTACATGTAATACAGATCTATTGATCAGTTGATCTATACAAAACAAAATCTGCACTAACTAAAGGCCAGCCATATTACCAGATTGGCCTTTGATTGTAATGTTAATTATATTAACAAAACTCCTTACCACTGTCTTCTTACGCTCTTTACACTCTGATAAAAAAATGATATCCCATTAGTATGGACTATAATCATACTTTGAGTAGTTGTTATCTCCTTTCTGACACTGGAAGCTATTACATAAAATTTGCCAAATTGTGATAGCATCTCATCCTTATCTGATAAATGTACAAAAAATAAAACAGATCTGAATTATCTGGGATTTTCAACAAAAATGGAGTAATGTACTATCTCTGTAAAGAACAATTTCTGTAAAAAAAATACAGTATAAAATGTGTGGATAATATTTTCAATTATTCCAGATCTACAAGGGCAGAAATGCTTTAAGTATAGAATACCTATAACTGCCTTATAGAAGTGCTGATAATAACATACCAAATATTGTTTTTATAATAAATTATTTTGGAGATAACAAAGAGAGAAGATAGGAAATAGATTTCTTTCTATGTGAATAACCCATTCTCTGATTCCGCTGTTTTTAAGGATATGATATCTAATTGGATCAGTATTCTAAGAGCATTGCCTCATGACCTCCCTAAATTGCTGTATGGTCATAACCCAAAGAAAAAAAGCACTTTAAAGGGATCAATCTACTAAATGCAAGTTTAACACTATGGTCTACTTCCACCTGGATAAAAGCCAAAGATCAGTAATAACAAGTGCTATTCAATTTGTTTGAAAGATGATTTTTGAACATGTGGAAGCACAAATGAAACACTTTTTTGAATAATTAGAGTAACTGTCTCTCTTCTTTTTTTCATGTTAGTTCAATAGAACTGCATCTGCTGATTCTACATGCATGATGCATGCAGGGCCTCTTCAATTTATAATATCTCTTGCTATTCCCCCCCCCCCCCATGAAGACTGTATGTTCATTCATGCACAGAAGTAGCTGAAGGCAGATTCTGAAACAGTACAAGGGCTTGAAAAAAGATGCTGCTATAATCCCAAAGGAGGTGTTCTTGCATTCACCACAACATCTTTTAAACTACTTCTTTTAAAGGATTTGCCTAGCATTATTTGTGATGATTTAACAGAATAACAGCGTTGGAAGGGATGTTGAAGGTCTTCTAGTCCAAAACCCCGCTCAAGTAGGAGATCCTATACCATTTCAGACAAATGGTTGTCCAATCTCTTCCTAAAAATCTCCAGTGATGGGGAACCCAAAACTTCTGAAGACAAGCCATTCCATTGATTAGAAAATTTATCCTTATTTCTAGATTGATTCTCTGCTTGATTAGTGTCCATCCATTGCTTCTTATCCTGTCTTAAGGTGCTTTGGAGAATAGGTTGACCCTCTATTCTTTGTGGCAGTCCCTTAGGTATGGGATGACTGCTATCATGTCACCCCTAGTTCTTTTTTTATTAATCTAGACATACCCAATTCCTGCAACCGTTTTTCATATGTTTTCATTTCCAGTCCCCTTATCATCTTTGTTGTTCTTCTCTACATTCTTTCTAGAGTCTCAATACCTTTTTTATATTTTGGTGACCAAAATTGATGCAGGATTTCAAGTGTGGCCTTAGCAAAACATTATAAAGTGTTATTAATACTTCACAAAATCTTGATTCTATCCCTCTGTTAATGCAGCCTAGGACTGTGTTAACAGTTTTGGTAGCCAGATCACGTTGCTCGCCCATATTTAAGTGACTACCCATTAGGACTCCAAGTTCCCTTTCTCAGTTACTACTATTGAGCCAGTAGATTTGATACTTCAAATAAGAAGTGGTTTGAGCACAGATACTTTTAACTTAAATTTAGTAGAAAAAAGTTTACCAAAAAACATGGAGAAGAGAGCTGATGTTTAACAGAGGTATTTCACTTTCAAACACAGTGATTCATTGCTGCAGAATACAACAGTTAAGAATTCAAACTGAAATGTAAAATACTGTCAGTTTTTATTAGCTTTCTTAGACTGATTTTCTTAACTTTTTCAGTTAATATTTTGAAAATCATTTAAATTGGTGATTGTGTGGAAATTCCTATTTCAAGGTGAAGTTGATGCAGAAGTAAAAAAAATATTGGCTAGCAAATGAGACAGTGAAACTACTAGTGCTCTTGAGTGCGGATGATTTCAAATTTAATTAATTCTCAAACCAAATGAGATTAAAATTTGCCAATCAAGCTACTGAATGTGTAAATAATTGCTTCATAGATTCTTGTTACGTATTACAGAATTAAAGTAACAGATTTTGACTTTAAGATAAAAACGGTAGAATAACAATAATGCTTCTTTAAGTTCTGGTGTACTTGTTAGCAAAATGACCATCCAGCAGTATTGAACTTGAAGACTAGGGGCTTTTGTAAAAGTATCCACTGGGCTCTTAAATGCTTATTGTTGTTATAAACTAGGATGACATAGCACCTCACATTTCTAGCATTAGCTTAAAAAAATGGATTTGAATTTCTGGGTCAGGTTTCAAAAAGGGAAGATGCTCAAACACTGATCTTTCTGGAGTAAGATCTTTTTCCCTGTCCCAAAGGTGCTTTTTCATGAGGTAACTGGACTTTCTTGTTTTTTTTTGAAGACGCACAGAGCTGAAGAAGCTTCTTGGATGAGAAGTGAAACGTCTTCAAAGAAAAACAAGAAATTCAGTTGCTTCATGAAAAACCACCTTTGACCTGGATGACTGAGAATCTCCATAGACATCTTTTTTCTTGATATTGGTTGGCAGTCAGATTCATTTGATCTACTTGATATTCTTGGTCATGTTTAAATAAAAATTTGGGGATGCTTCAAAAATTATTTCTCCATTCTTCTTCAAGGTATGGAAGCATGATTATTTCATGATTTAAAATAAAAAAAGATGAGGTCTATATTCCTTTGGATTGATTTTACATTTCTATTTTTTAAAATCCTGAAATACATAAAAAACACTTTTGTCTAATGATAAGGTCACTCATCATCTCCACAGTCCCCACCTTGAAAAAGTATGCCTCTCACCAAATTGTCATCAACCTTATTCATTTTTTTTTTGCCTCCTCTTAGAACTACAAAATGATGCTGCAGCAGCAGGCTAATCAACATATGCAAAACACCACTGATCAGCCTGATTTTGGAGCACATCTCTCAGAGGAGAAACTTAATGCCCTTCGACATGAGCAAGTTGGACAGCTACATGAACTAATGCAAGAGGCCACCAAAACCAAGAGACAGTTCAGTATTTTAGATGATGGAGACTGCAAACATTAACAGGTTTTGTGAATTTCACTTGATGGAGTTTCATTTTTGTGTATTTTTTTAAAATAGTTTTATTCTAAAGAATTAAGGAAGATGGTAAAGATACACATAACAAATGATCAGAAGCAACTACTGTCATCTATATATTATGTACTTCTACTAAATGTGGAGAATAGTTTAATATTTTGGAACATTTCAGCTATGTTAAATTTATCATATGCAGGAAACAATTAAAATGGCTTTGTACTAAGAATATATTTTGTGGATAGTCAGAACATCAGGGAGATAAAAACTTTGAACTGCATAATGATTGAAGTTCAAAATTTAATAGTCTTTTTGTTTTTTTTAAAAAAATAGAATGCAGCTATATGTATTTAACATAATTTATTGTTTGATTCAAATGTCTTCAAGATCATATCAAATTCTGCTTTTCACTTACTTTCAAATACCAAAAGCTGCCTTCTTTTGCCCAATATTTTTTCTTGCAAAAGAAATTTTGGTTTTTCTATTTCATTTTAAAGCACTAAAGTAGCAGATGGTATTGTTACTCTTTTTGTGATTCACCTTTGTATCATTCTTCAGCCTCCCATGCTGTTCTTACTTCCTGTTCTGATAAAAGTTTCCTTGTGATGTCTTCCCTTGAGATTTAATTGGAATATAACAAGTCAAGCAGGCTTTAGACTGCTGGGAAGACGATTGTTCAGTGAGAGAAGAATATCTGGATACATAGTTCAGCTGTTTCTTATCTAAGAAAAATGAAGAACTTCTGCATGCCAACAGTTTTAAGAAGAGAAGTTGAACTGAATAGGTGGATCTTCTTTTTGTTTAACATGCACAATTCCCCCAGAGCCTAATTTATTTATTTTATTTTATTTTTAAAATTTATAAACCACCCCACTCCCGCAGGACTCCGGGCGGCTAATAATAAAAACACCATATAACATGACAAAACAAACAATACAATAACAGTCATCCAGGGGTCATCCCCAGACCTGCCGGAAAAGCCAGGTTTTAAGCAGCTTGCGGAAAACCAACAGGGTGGGAGCGGTCCTAATCTCCAGGGGGAGCTGGTTCCAAGACGTGGATGCCATCACAGAGAAAGCCCTCCCCCATGGCCCTGCCAAATGGCACTGCTTGGCCGACAGGACCTGAAGAAGGCCCAGCCTGTGGGATCTAACCAGACGAAGGGAACTATGAGGTAGTAGGCGGTCTCGCAAATAGCCTGGCCCTGAGCCATATAGAGCTTTAAAGGTAATAACCAACACCTTGAATTGGACCCGGAGACCAATAGGCAACCAGTGCAGCTCACGGAGGATAGGTGTAACGTGGGTGTACCGAGGAGCACCCACTATCACTCGCGCGGCTGCATTCTGGACCAACTGTAGTCTCCGAACACTTTTCAAGGGTAGCCCCATGTAGAGCGCGTTGCAATAGTCCAGATAATAAAACTCCCCTTGTTTAAAAATAGTTATTCTCTGGGTATTTTTTAAATATACTTCCATTTTTAAAAAAATCAAATATAAGTCCAGAATTGGTGAAACAATCAGGTTTTATAGATGGCAACTGGAAGTAAAAAGAAATCGATCTCTGTGTATATCAGTAATCCTGAATATAATTTTTAGATGATATTAGTTAGGGTTTGATAAGAACTAGTGTAACTATAATGATGGCTTTTCCCCAGAAGATCTAGATTCAGAACAACAGAGTTGGAAGGGATTTGGATGTTCTCTAGTCCAACCCCCTGCTCAAGCAGGGGACCTATACCATTTTAGAAAGGTAGCTGTCCAGTCTCTTCTTAAAAGCCTCTAGTGTTGGAACACCCACAACTTCTGAAATCCATCTTCAGCCATGAAAGCTCACTGAAAGAGTCACACTAAAGTATCTGTCATGATGAACAGGATAAATAGGCAGAATTTTTTTTTTTACTTTGACAATAGTTTATCCAAGATTTAACTCTTCATTTCTTTCTTGCATTCCAATTGAAAATATGCTGACTAAACATGGTCTGAAGCTTTAGGAAGAGTTCCCATTGATACTAAAGATTTTTTTAAAATAAAGAAGCTACAAACCAGTTATATGAAATAGATTTTGTTTATCATATGAATGAGGATCAAGAAGGTAAGCACTCCTTTGCTTCATGTTTTTAGAATAAAAATCTCTATCTTCTTGTAATTAATTATTGATACCATATTAATTAAGAAAAGATAGCTAAATCTCAGTAAATGACAAACACATAATGCATATTTTGGCTTTCAGACACCAGCATGATTCTGATTTATATAACCCAGATTATGGGTGCAATAAACAATCAGTATCTTTAATGTCACCATTTTGCATCTAATTCCACATCCAGAAGCATGATCTGCTCACAAATTTCAGGAGATTGTTCGTTTCTAAATGCTAACTATTTGGAGGATGGTATCCTGGAGAATGGTAGCAATATTTTCCCATGTGCTTCATTTCTTGGGATCTCTCTTGACATTCAATTGATTTTTTTTTCTTGCCCGAGATATTATATAGAGATCATGGAAAAAAGAAATGAAAATTCATTGGTCTGAGCCCTTCATCATCCAACATCTATTAAAAACTTCTCAACAGTTATAAATGGAAATAAGTTTTTTTTCTAGCTTAAAAAAATAATCACATATTTCCAATCTTCCCCTAACATTATTTTGACCTTTCTCAAAAACAATATTTTCACTTTGAATTCCTAGTTTAAAAATGATTTGGAGTGGAAATAACTTCATTGCAAGATTAAAATAGAAGTGGCAGTGATTAAAATAGTTGAATATAATATTAGTTTCCATTAAAATGTCAAAAAGTACAGGCCTCCTGAAACTTAGTCTAAGTTATTTATTCAGTTTTTAATTTTCTTTTAACTTTGAGTGTTAGCTAAATAAGATCTTTTTTACCTAAGACAATTTCAGTTATTGCCATTTTTAGTGGGATTTTATTGTTCCTTACCAAGTGTATAGGCAGGATTCAGATACCCCATTTCCTCAGCTAGAGGAAGGCATCAGTATCAAATTACATTTTCTGAGGCATCAGTATCAAACTACTGGAATACTATGCAACAGAAAGAACTAGATTTCTACATTTAATTTAGAATCTCATCATATAAGCTGTATGTTGAATTACTTGTATTTCTTTTAGGATGGGATAGAAGCTTTTTGGTGTCTGAGGTCCCCACTTTCATTTCTCTTGAGGGAGGATTCACTGACGGTTGCAGGCTTTATAACTTTAGTAGGTAGGGCTGAAATACTGGTCCTTTGGGGGAATGGTGGGAATTAAAAAAGTAAATGAGTATATTAATCCTGGTGTAAAGCCCTTATTTTAACAAAACCCAAAACTGAAACGGAAACTAACCAACCACAGAATATTATCCAGGCAGCTGTTAATTACATCCACGCCATAATTTATTCATTTCAATCCTTAGATACGTTACTGGAATGGAAATCAAAGTTTCAGGCTGAAGAGCCAATGATCAAACACAAGAACACATTATAACCATTGATGTTAATACCAGTGAAAAGAAAACATTTTTCTCCTCTGCACCCCAAAAGGGACATGCTGTTATATGTTAAATACAATAATTAATATTGTTACAGTCCATTTATTGACAACTTGGAAGAGTAGAGTAGAGTAGAGTAGAGTAGAAAATAGAATAGAATAGAATAGAATAGAATAGAATAGAATAGAATAGAATAGAATAGAATAGAATAGAATAGAATAGAATAGAGCTGGAAGGGACCTTGGAGGACATTTAGTCCAGCCCCCTGCTCAAGCAGAAGAACCTATACCATTTCAATATTCTCATACATCTTTGATTTGGACAAATGTATTCATCTCCTATTTGTTTCCAGCCCCAGAGCAAAGATGGTTTGTTGTTTTCTTTTAAGGTTCTGCACCGCTTGTATCCTGCTTATCTCACTATCTTCCTCCCCATAACGGGTTTCCTTCCTGCAGAATCTCTGCTTCATGAGGAAGCTTAAGAAGAGTGGTAGAATAGGATGAGCTCTCTGTTTTCTATTAACCTCCCCATGGCTCCTGATCTATTGCTGAATTCATTTAATAACCTTCATATTTGGTATATTAAATGGAAAATTCAAAAAGGTTTGTAATATTGTATAAAAGCAATTAAATCTTTCAGGTATAGATTTTAGTGTGCGTGGGGAATGTGCTTTTAAAATAATAAATAAGCTTGAAAAGTACAAGTAATCATAAAAATACAGTTTGATTATAATAAAGCAATGTACCTAATAAAGGAAATGAGTGGGACTTTGAAATGTCACAATAATCATAAAGAATTCTTAGAAAGGCTGCCCAAATTTTTTATCTATTTCCTGGAATAACTATGGCCAGTCAGAAAAACATAATCAGAGCCCAAAGTGAAGGTTTCTCTGACTTCATTGTGAATCTGCTTACCTAAAACAAACTAATTTTGGAATTAATAAATGATCTAATTCATATTTGTTCCTTTTAAACTTTTGAGCAATTCCAGATTTTGGATCTAATTGCTTTCCTGTAATGTCTTTCCTATTTTCTGCCCCTATTATCTGTTAGCTCTTCAAGATAGATCGGATAAAAAAACTAACTCCACAGAATCGTCCTTTATTGAGATAGATGATAGTAACAGATAACCTCATTTAGTAAATGTTTGCAGCTACAATGGTAATGAAAAAAATAAAGGAAAATTTTGAAAATAAGACCATAAGCTCAGTTGTGGTTTCACTTAGTGATCACTTTGCTTAGTGACCAAGTTGCCAGTAGATCGAAAAGGACTATCTGTAACAGAATCTTGCAAATATGCCTCTGTTTTCACTTCTCTCTTATACCCAGGGTGTCAGCCAGCCAATACTTTCCTGCTTCCTTTGATCTAACATGCTTTTGCATCTGGCTTCTGGAAGTCTTCTCCAAGGCCACCTATACTATCCACCTTACTGATTTTTCACAAATTTTTAACTCCTTGGCTGTCTCACAAACCTTGTGTTAGGATTTTATCTTTTCGTGTTATGGACTAGTGTTACAGTCAGTTGTATTCTCTTTCTTTGAGATATGTTGTTTCTTTTAAATTCTTTTTTAATTGTAAACTGGCCACAATTGTGGAGTTGGAGGGCCTCAGAATTAAAACAATACACTAAACAATCTGAGCATCTGTAACACTTTTCTGTGACGGTGCAACATGTGCCAAATATGTTTTCCTGGGACTTTTGAATTAACAGTAAAATAAAAGTATAAATCCCCCCATATCAGTGTACTGTTAAATGTGTTCCTGAAATATGCTGAAATGAATTAATTTTGTAATTAATTAACAAGACTCAGTTTGTGGTAGTGGTTATGCTGCTGGCCTAGAAATCAGGAGACTGAATTCTTAGATATGGAAGCTGGCTGGTGACTTGGTAAGTTACTCTTTCTCAGCCCAGCACACCCCACCCCATTATTGTTGTAGGGAAAAAAGGAGACAAGTAACACATATTATACATTATTATTTCATCCTACCCTACCCTACCCTACCCTACCTTATCCTAGCCTAGCCTAGCCTATTGTCAACGCTGCAAATATTGTATATTCTTGCTTTTGACAATATGCAGAATTGTCTGGTAATTATGGGTTAATACAGAGCAGAAGGGGGGTTGGGAGTAAAGCCCGGGAAAGAAAGAGGAAGAAAATATTTGACCTTCACACTAATTGGATAATGTGAGATATGACGGCTGATTTAGGGAGGGAACATGCTGATAATTTAACTGCTCAGAGGAAGAGAACTTAGATCCTAGCATCCCTCTGTTGTGCCTGCGCCGACATTTTGTAACAATAAAAGAATTTTAGGAAAATAATGTCTGGAAGTTCTTTGAAATGTTTCATTAGCCGGAACCATAACACCTATCCTATTCTATCCTATCCTATCCTATCCTATCCTATCCTATCCTATCCTATCCTATCCTATCCTATCCTATCTTACCCATCTGTCCTGT